GTGCAGTGCGAAAGGGGTATAAGACATGTTTTTCATGTTCAGAATTCTTTAAACCAACATGTATTTACAGAGTGAAATAGGCGATATTATTATTAACATATATACTATCTCATGCCTACCTCACAGACTGCTGTTTGCCTTAGTTTCCAGAGGGGTATTATACTATATATGCAACAATTACTGGTAATGTGATTGAGTTCAATACAGAATTTCTTGTTACAGGAGCTTGTAAAGCTGGAATAGTCTGTGTTTTAGGGCTTCTGTTGTACAGTTTTTTTTAGCTTCGTGCAAAATTTACCTGAAGTTTTTTTTTTTTCTTGTGGTAGTGGGTTCTTGGTCAGCGTGTGTAATTCTGATGACCTTGAATAAGTCACTTTTACTTATTATTTTAGTCAACCCAGCTATAAATGGGTACAGATAATCTGGGAAAGATCATTGCCAAAAAGTTTGACCAAGGAATTGCTCGTAGAAAGGATCATTGTGAACCTAGTTCATTGGTTACCCTAAATTAAAATACTTGTTTAAAGCCATAGTCATGACACAGAAAAAAACATAACAAAATAGAGTGCACCTGACACAGAATAGTGAACAAATTTAAGGAATGTTAAAGTTGTTAGACCTGTAAAAGTAATTTCTAAAGAGATAATGTTGTAATAGAGACATAATGTTAACACACCTTATTGAGTGATGTCTTTACATGTAATAACTGTAACATCTTGAGTAAACAAATTTAACACATTTTACAAACTTCTTCCCCAGTCTGATGTTAACAAAAAACATTAAATGCTTATTGAATTTACTACTTGTTTCTCTGTTCAAACAATTCCAAAATTGTTCCCAGACTCAACCTTGACCTCTAGCATCAAGAATTCTCTTAAGTACAATAAAGTGTGTATTATCATGAAGTAACATGGTGAACAATCTCTTCAGAGCTATTTAAAGAGTTTATTCTTTGAAAAACTCATATACATGTATTTACAGAAGAAACTAAAGGAACTGTAATCCAAAATGGTCTCTTATTGAAGGTGGTCTAGAAGAGTATTGGATAAGAAAAGCCCCCAGCACCAGAGTTATTTTGTTTATTTCTTCATAGCTGTTGACATGTTTGCATATTGGGAATTCATTGCTTTCAACCACCTTAGATATTTCACCTTTTTTCGTTTCTCTTATTGAAGGTGGTCTAGAAGAGTATTGGATAAGAAAAACCACCAGCACCAGAGTTATTTTGTTGATTTTTTCATATCTGTTGACATGTTTGCATTTGGGGGATATTTTGCCTTTTTCATTTTAATATTCCTTGGATTTCCCAAACAATTTCATTAACTCCTTTGACCCTTTGTTTAATGTTAAAACTAAGTGATTACCAGTGATTTTTGTTCCAGTTAGTATTGAAGAGTGTAATTAAATTGGTTTTAATTGTAATTAATTGAATTCAGTTCACAGTATTAACTAATAATCACACTTCACTGCCTTTTCTACTTTCCTATCTCTTCTCTGTTTCTGAGTTCTATTAAACCTGACCAATAACCCTGTGTCCTTTCTGAGCTTTTGTAATGACCATCTAAGTTGTTTTCTGTCTTACATGTATGGTCATTCTGTCTTAGTATTTTGTTGGATGGTTTATACTGCCATGTTGATTGTACAGTAGGTTTCTGCATTGACAGTATTTATTGTATATTCTAACTGTATATTTCATACAGATAGTAAGTTATTATATATATTTTATCATGATTAATTTAAGACCTGTTTCTTATTAGTTCATTTTGTACTTTCAGGGTTTATGATTTGAACCCTTTGTTTGATGCTTTAATCACCATCACCCACGTTAACGACAAGATTCATTGTATAATTAAATCTAAGGCTATGGAATACTTTTCTGTGATAAACTTTATGTGGACTCATTAATATTAGACTGCAAATTAGAAATTTTATTTGTGTTGTCCATAAGGTTGACATGCAAAACATCTGTTAGCATGGAAGGACAATAAACAAAATAAACTGTGTGCATTCGGATGTGCACTTTAAGAAAGAAAGAAACAATATTTTACAAGGATAACAACTTAGGTTCACAATTAAGGATCCTTTCTACCAGCTGGTCCTTGGCCAAACCTCTTGGCACAGCTGGGTCGACTAGAATTGGGTGAAGATGACTTATTCAAGGTCATCGGACTATCACACACTGATTGAGAACTAAAACCACAGCTGCCATTCGCTCAACGTAACCAAGCAAATGACGTCATGTAAAGAACCAACACTCTAACCGACTGTGCTATAGAACCTTACAGATTCCTCTACAGTTAGAAACTGTTTTCCTCTCATTACATATAGCATTGTCTCTCTTCATTTGCCCTACCAAGAGAGTTCAAAATAAGATGTAAACTCCATTTCATTTCATTCAGAAAAAGATCTTAATTAAAATAGCAACAGAAAATTGATTTGAATATGTTTTTCGTTTAACATGCAATTCTGTAATTTATAACTTGGGAGTAACTTTCACAAGAACATGTGTTAATGTACCAACTAACAAAATTAGCATCAAAATTTAACACTTCTGTATACATATAAATTTATCCGACCACCAAGAAGCCTAACAAAAAATATATATTAAATTGGGTAAGACGATTCTCTATAACAAAAACAATAATCAAAATAAATTCCAACTTAACAATTCGTGTAATGTAATATTTTAACTAAATTGATATATTGCTATTTAATCATAGAATAATAAACATGATCTGTTAAAAATTTGGCAACCTGCTGAGTGCAGAAGAATCATTTTTTGAAAATAAAACCTAGAAAGAGCTCAAGGTGATATTGCATGTTTTAGCCCAGATAGGGCTTCTGGGTTTGCAAAAATTTAGAGATATATATTGTTGTATTGGAAAATAATTGTTGATATATTCAGGAAAAGAAATTGAATTCTTCAAGATTTTAGCAGGCCAATTTCTTGCAGTAGAAATAATTGTCAACTTAAGCTGTGATTATTTGTGTATTCTCAAATGCAAACTCAAACACAATAAAAAGGACAATAGCAAACCCTATCCAAATCCTGAGCAAACCCGAAAAGGGCGATGAATGGCTCAGTGAGTGATTTTGTTGCGTCTGTGGATGGCTACGGACAGCTGGCAAGTACCTCCTTTGTTTCCTGACCCAATACCAGTGTGGTTTCCATTTGCGGAATCACTGTACGGACACATGTTAAGCAAGTTTTAAGTTTGCGTTTGAGTTGCGCTTAAACAGACACAACAGTGTTAGCCTATGATTAATTCTAATTGTAATATCTATCATTTTCAGGTTAAAAGTAATGAGTACCCGATAAATATGTCAACAGTTGCTGTTAGTCTGAATGATTAATCAATCAATAAGTGAAAATGTATTGCCATGATTGCATATTAAATCTAATCAGGTAACATGTTAAATAATTATTTATACTTGAGTAATCTAGCATGGTTTATCTTCCTCAGAAATCCATATACACATTCAAACCTTTTATTGTCTTGTATCAAAATAACTTATGAACAATCACAGAGGAATTTACATTTAGAATCAGTATGGTTTACTGTGCATTTGCCTGGTTACATTACACAGAATTCATCAGTTTTGTTCTGATAACTGTTGAAAGAATTAATGATTTTTAAAGTAGGTAATCAGATTTTTACCTTGAAATGTACCTTATGTTTGAGTCAAGCATTCTTTAAATTGGCACAATTTGACATATTTTTGTAGGTAACTATCCCAAAGTTGGATCAATCTGACCCACAAACCATGCTAAAGTCTAAATGTTTTATCATTTACAACAATAAGCTTGCAGGTGTTGAAAGTTCTATCATATATTATTATTTATCCTGGCATGTTATATCTCAGAAATTACACAAATAAACTTCATTTCTTCCAATATATATTGATGGTTTGTAAGAATAACTTTTGAAATATCCTTGAAATTAATATAATAGTTAAGACATCTATATACTTGTAGCATCTTTGGCAGTTTTAAACAAAAAATATTAACTGAAAGCACACATTCAAACATCATAACTGTCAAGCAGTCTAAAATAGGTTGGCATGGGGTGTATATCATTTATCATTACTAATACACATGAAAAAAATATATAGATAAACATAATTAGCTATGTGGATCCTCAAAAATTCCTGTTTTGATCTACTTCAGTTCAATTGCAGTACATCTGCATTTTTTTTTTATTCCAATCCCATTAAGATAATAAATATATTTGAAAAAATATGATCAATATTCCATTCAACAGTCAGGATTAACAAGAAACATCTGGGTGGCTTTAAATGAAAAACAACAGTTTTTACCTATCAGTATATCATATCTTGTAACAGGAAAGGCTTTGAACTTTCCTTATCTGGTGTAAGCTGGAAGTGTATGCATGTATGTTTGGTCTGGTGCAGTATTTAATATGAAAGATTGGAACCAGTCCCATGATGAAAGATGACTTTTGCTTGTTTTTTGATTAGTGAGATGAAAATGATTATGTAATAACTGAATGGTTTGACATTTTAATGGAGTAGACATTATACAGAGATAATTAGACTGAATATATTTTTTTTTATGAAGTTCCTGATATGAAATTAAAGTTATCAGTATGAATCTGTTGTCAGCTTTTGTCTGCAACTAACGGAACTAAAAGCACCAATCTACTGAGTGCATTTATTTTCGAACCATTGGTTATCATAGTCTATTTAAAAGGCCAATGAGATGTGAAAATTAGATTTGTTATGCATTGTTTTTGTTAATGCAAATTTTTATGCTGGTCTTTTAGGGATTGGTAAGAGGTTTTCTAATCTTTATATATGTATCTGGAACACCATTCCATCACTTGCACAAATTTTCAGTCAGACAATTCCATGAAAACTCATTGTTTTATGATATACCTATTGGATCAGATAATAGTGATATAGTAATTGGCACATGTATCAGTACACCATATACTTTGACTAAGGATTTAAGGTAGACAATTTGATAAAGAGACACTTACCCTCTAAGAAATTGAAAACCATGAACACAAACCAAAATGTTACCAAAGGCATCTACCTTTAACAAATTACCATATAAACTGTCAAACCATAAACCTCTGAAAATTAAAATATAAAAAAATTCAAAATTCTCATAAAATAAAAACATCAATTCACCTACTCTCTGCAACGTATTTTTGGGAAAGAATTCTAAAAAAAAAAATTTAGTGAGTCACTACTCTTCAAAGTAGCTCAAAACAGAGCTTAACAAGATAGATTGAAAACATTTTTTGACTCATTGTTGGTAAGGTTTGTCATATTCTTGTTTTGGTTAAACATTTCTTTGGTTGACTTATTTTTGGTTACAGTTTGAAATGTTTTTAATTAGGTTTTAAACTTTTTTTGGCTTACATATTCTTGGTTCGGTTTGAAAATATAGACATATTCTTCATTAGACTTTAAACTCAGCAAGTTGCTTTGGCTCAAAGTTTTGAATGACCCTTAATTCTTCTTCTTCTTGATTATTAATGAAACTATATAAGTTTGGCAAATGATATGCACAGCAGGAATTTTAACATTACTTTGTCCACATATTTATATCCCCCCACCCCCTCATAATTCCTAATGTCATGCACCTAACATTTGTTTCTGACACCCAAAATATGACACTTAAACAATACAATAATTTCTATTACCAACAGTCAGTTGGAACAAAAATATAGAGTGCAATTTACTCTAACAAACATTGGAAGATTCCAGCTGCTGTCAATATGGTAATATATGTTATTATATTTATATAAATATTAAGTCTACCTTAGCCTCTAGCCTGCAAGTTTCACTTTCTTTGTATTTTGAGAATATCCAGAAAGATGGAAATATGAAATAACAAACATACTCTGACCTATATCTATTTGTTTTTATTTGAAAATATATGACAAAATCTTCATGTTTCACATATAATATCAATTTTAATAATATAACATCAGTTTTGAAAATATAACATCAATTTGTGGAAATATAACATCAGTTTTGTGAAAATATAACATCAGTTTTGTGAAAATATAACATCAGTTTTGGAAATATACAACGGTTTTGGAAATACAACTTCAGTTTTGAAAATATAACATCAATTTTCAAAATATAAAATCAGTTTTGAAAATATAACATCAATTTGTGGAAATATAACATCAGTTTGGAATATATAACATCAGTTTTGACAATATAACATAAGTGTTGGAAATATAACATAAGTTTTGGAAATATAACATTAGTTTTGAATATATAACATCAGTTTTGGAAATATAACAAACTTAAACTGGATATTGTTAATTTCTTCTAACACTACCATTTACTAGCTCGACAGGGAATGCTTACAATTCATTACTTTAAATAGCTAATATTTTTGTTGAATAGAATTTTATTGCAACATTTTTTCATTATTAATCCAAAACTTCTTTGTCTTTTTATTACATTATAAAACTTGTGTGTGGTTTCAATATTTAAGAAGATAATTTCAAAGACAAGTCTGCTCGAATTTGGGGGTTCTTGTACAGAAATGGGATCAAAGAAAAACATTTTTTGGCCAAATACACTTTTTCTGCAAAGACAGCTAAAATACTGAAATAATCTTGAAGATCATTAAAGAAAATAAATAACTGATAAGAGGTATCTTTAACGTTAATATTGCAGGAAAAACAAATGAAAACAAAGTTACTTTATATTTTCAAATACTAAAACAAATGCTTCAAGATAGTATTACCTAATGATGATGTTTCTAAAAATAATTAATTTTTATTCCCAAAACATCAAAGATGTAAGATATCTTTGAAGTTGGAATTGGTAAAAGAAATGAGCATGGGAAAACCTGGAGGCACAAAGAAATAGTTGAAGATTTACAGAAATCATGATGTTACTGTTCTGATTGTACAAATATACCAAGACGCTTAAAACGGCTGTGGAAAAGATTCATGTCAAATTTGTGAAATCTTGAAAAGCCCTGAAGCTTTCAATGCTTAATATGTTTGTAACATATTGAAAATCACTAAGTAATGAGAAGCTGAATCAAGCTTAATTTTGTGGTCTCCAATGTGTCTGTGCACAACAAAATCCATCTTTTGTCCTTGAGGATTATATTGATTATACTGTAGCCTATATAATAACAACCAACAAATTAGAAGCATATCTTTGATGGACAATTAAATGGATCTTTATCATGTTTTCGCATTCTGGTATTTCCAAGCATTATTTAGATTTGATCCATTTATCAGGAATCAGAAAAAAGACAATCTATTTTGATTATTGTAAGATGTTTATGTATGTTAACAGAAAATATATAATTAAAAATACAAATCCAGTGAGGACTATTCTACAATAAGCTCAGTACTATCATTGGATAAAAACATTTATTGCCAAACTGTTACTTTGGATTCCCAGTTTGTTTTGCAGTTCAGAATTTCAAAATTTTAGAGACAATATATTTTGCAAAAGTCAAAATAAACTACTAAATTTTAATGGATTCCATTTTAAGTCACAAATCATTATTTACTTCAGATTTAAAAGTTTGGGGGTTTGATGTATACACTATGGTAAATACAAGGGAAAAATTCCCCAATACTTGCTGATATACTAGGACATATTCTAAAACCTTACATATAGCTCAGTAATAATGCAAAATATTTTCAGCACTGGCTTGTACATGTAAACTGTATATACACATTTATTATGTTGTTACCTCAACAGAAAACTGTGGAATATTTTGGATAAAAATGGTGTATATTTATAAATATTGGTAAAAAGATATATGTTAGATTACCAGCTGGTTTGATAGTGTAACCAGTCACCTCCCACCGAGACCAACAAGCCAAAAAACGTGAAAACAAAACGGCAGAGATTACATAGAGACAATCTGGTGTCTATAGTTATATTACAACATCTGTATAGCATGGTTTTCATATGTTATAATCTAAACAATAACTCTTATAAAACTTTACATTCAAAACAGCTTCCTTCCACTATTGATAAGATAAGGATTACAGTAGTCCTTAGATCACGATTCTAATCATTGACTTTACAAATTTCCCTGTCAAGCCATTTCAGAGCGATTTTAATTTAAAGATATTTGCTATTTGACTTAAAGCATTTATTTGCACCATTCGACTTATATGTAACATTTGATTTATAGCATCTATATGAATCATTTGATTTTATAGCACCTATATGTAACATTTGATTTTATAGCACTTATATGTAACATTTGATTTTATAGCATCTACACCATTTTAACTTATAGCATCCATTTGTAACATTTGTCTTATAGCATCTATTTGCACCTTTCTACTTAAAGCATCTATTTGCACAGTTCTACTTATAGCATCCATTTGCACCATTCTACTTATAGCATCCATTTGCACCATTCTACTTATAGCATCCATTTACACCATTCTACTTATAGCATCCATTTGCGCCGTTCTATTTATAGCATCTATTTGCACCATTCTATTTATAGCATCTATTTGCACCACCCTACTTATAGCATCTATTTGCACCACCCTATTGACTTGTTTGATGTTTAATTCCAGAAACACTTGACTAGGTTATGAAATTATTATATTGAATATACCATTCAAGCCTTCAGTTTTGTGATACGTCCCCTTATAATCTATAAAGTTTTTCTGGCATTGCTGGAAATCAGATTTTCCACCAAAAAATCCAAAAAAAGAATCCTCCATATAAACATTAATTTTTTTGTTCAAAATTTGTCACTATGGAAGCTAATTGTAGAGAAAATCATGTCAATGGTTATTTTCAAGTAAGGAACTTCAATTCTCAAAAAAATTGTTTACAGTAAGATTATACTGTAAGGGCGTAAGTGAAAAATAAGATTATTTATTCAATTGTTATGTCAAATATTTCAAGGAAAATAATAATTACAAACAAGTGTCAGATGTCATAGAGAAGACAATTGACAAAGAAAGACAAGAAAAACAATTTCAGAGAAGAAGTATTTCCTTTTGAAATGTCATTATATTATATAGACTATGAGTGCTGATAATGCATGAAATCAAAAATTCCATGACATGGCATGATAGTCAAGATTATAGCCATAGAAAATCTTATTCATTTGGGAAAAAAACAAATCTGTATCAAAAGATAGTACACAAACATCAAAATTAAACCTAGTTTTATTTTAACTAAACTGATTAAAAGTTAAAACCTTATTTTAAAGATGGGTTCCCTCATTTTCATTTATGAAAATGAAAATGCTAATACTTATATGAATAGAAAGTAGAGGTGTTCTAATGACTTGGAAAAATACCAGTTTGTCTCACTTGTCCATAATTAGCTAAATTAGAAGAGAATTTCCAGCAGAATCCCAATAAGTGACCGATCAAAAAAAGGTCAAAAAGTTTTTTTTTTGTTTATCCAGACTGGTTAAAACTTAAATAATATGCAATATAAGAAAATAATGATGTGATAAAGAATACATGCTTATTCATTAGAAACACCAATTAATCAAATAGTTTGCTTAATTTGACACTAAATGATAAGGAAACCCATATTAAAAGTTTGATTAGTTTCTCATTACATATTGTTAAGGCATAATTATTGATATGATACTTATTGTTAAGGCATAGAAATAGTGCCAAGAAGGACTGTTGTCTCTATTGAAAAACTACTCTAATTCCAAGAGATCTTGTGCAAAATAAACAGTTTCTGTGACTAAATGACGCCACAGAACCTAGCATTCTCCTATTCAAGCCAGTCCTTTCTCTCAACACAACTTGAGAGTAATGTAGCAAATATGTTACAAAAAATTTCCAACAAATTCCCATAATGTCAGATTTGAAATTTGTTTTTTTAATAAATTGTTAAGAAATTCCAATAAATTTCTTGAAAAAACACAAAGGTTAATTTCTATTTTTATTTTGTCAGTTCATTTTCTGTTTTTTTTTCTGATCTTCCCAGCTACGACTGTAAAATGTTATTTGGTTACAGACAAGTGTTCTTACCCTGGGCTGATACAACAAATAACATAAATAACACCAAGAGGTCTTTAAAAAAGGAGGTAAAAAATGACAACGCCGTCATTCAAAGTGGGAAGAAGAATTTAACTTTTGACCCAAATAGAATTTTTTAACTCTACAAGACAAATGCCAATGATGATGAAAGGGCACGAAGGCATGGTGTACAAGATATGAGGTTTCAAGCAGAAGTTTAAAAAAGTGAACACATTGGTTTGGTTAATGTTGGTGGTAAGACATGTTACAAGAATCCTTTCTTCACCTGTCTGCCATATTTTTCGATTCACTCTAATATTCAATTTCAACTTTGTGTCTTTAATTTCCTAAACTTTTTCAAGAATCAGGGCAATTTTTCTACTACAATTAGATTTATTAAGCTGGAATATTGAAAAACTTTTCTGATGTAGTTTCATGTAGCAATCAGTATAATTAACTTCAATGTGGCTGTTTAAATTGCTATCATTTCTGCTGCATCAAATAGACAAAACATACAGAAACTTTTCATTTCAATTAAAACAATCCTCTTTCATGTTATGAAGTTTTATTTCCTGCTCTTTAACTCTTTTTTAGTGGGTTTACGATAATGAAATTGATTTAAGGGCGAAAGTACAATCTTTCCCATTCTTTGTCAATTTTTGACTGACAACGTTTCAAACAAGCATAATCTAGTTTTCATACAATGTAATCAAAAGCAGATTACAATTTCGTTTCTTTTTTTTTTTTTTGGTCTTCATTGTAATCTAACGTGATATATACCAAGGTTGTGTACAAGTTGATCATGCATCACTCTCTATCCAATCAAAATCGCTTTTACAAGCAGGCAGTCTTATACTCATTGGTTCCCTGCTTACTTATTGGCAGCTGCTCTGTTTAAAAGCTAAAGTACACTTCAATAATATACAGTACATCGGTAGGAGATTTGTTGTGATTTAAGAAGTTTAATGCCTGGAAGTGAAATAAAGAAAAGTAAAAGGCACCAAAGAAGGAACCAAATCACACACCTTATAGGGAAAGTTGGATCATACTCAAACTCAGCAATAGCATCAGGATATCCTATCTTCACCATCTGCTGTTTTAACAGGTCAAATCCTAATGTTTCATACTCTGGTGATTTATAAACTGAAATTATACAATAAGAATTTTTTATACCCCAGTCGTATATACCTAAAAGTGTATATTAAAACGAAGTTATACATATTATATATTTTGTGACCTTCAAAGTCAAATTGTATAGTTTTGTATAATAATTCATAATCTTATAACCTGATGAGTTTTATACTGAAATTGGTTAAAAAAAAAAAATTTCATAAAATATATCAACAAAAATTGTTCCTTTCAATATTTTTCATATGATTTTATATCAATAGAAATATTAATATCAAATTTGAAGTATTCTAGTTTTTTATCATCATATATAGGCTTTGAATGTTAAGAAAAGTATTAATAGCAGTTTTAACAATTTACTGTTAGATCTTGCTTTATTGAATTAAGAGAGCCTGTAAAAATAGTGTACACCCTATATTCAACTCCAGTTATTGTGTTTCACGTCACCTGTCAAAGGGGGATTAAGTGCTGTTAGGGAGGGTTCTAAACAATATATCATAGTCAAATCTAGGAATTTCTCTTTTAAAAACATTTCTCTTTTGATCTGATAACTTAAATTGGCAATTTCTATTTCAAAAGATTGCTTATAAATCTTAAAAATATATGTTCTTTTTTTTCGCATTAAACATTTTTCAGAATTTTATACGAATAGATAATCAAATTAATCTTCATCTTAAGTATCACAAAAAATTTGATCAAGATTATCTGAATTTATTCAACTACAAATGGAGTTGGTACAACAAAAAACAGAATCAGAGAAAACAGAATCGGCTGGCTGAAATTTTTAATCTATTATCACAAGAGACATATTACAAAATTGCCCCCACATTTGAGAACTTGTGGTGCCAAAATTCCTAGCATCACTTGCAAATATGTCCTAGAATGCTAATATTGGGATAATATGATATGTAAGATCATATATAAGATTGCCATTGTATAAGTAAATTTATAAATATGCCCTATTTGACCATATATACTTGACAATACTTGACAAGGAGCCTACTTCAGATACCCCTTAAATAATCTGAATTTAGATTTAACACCTATAATTACTCTCAACTTTCTAGTGTAATTGACCTTTTAATACAGATATATATTACACTGGTGTCTAAAGCCCTTTTGCACCAGACCACTAGACCACATTGTCCATGCACAGTAAATTGTTCTGAGAAATATTACCATTTACAATGTAAGATGATGTCACTAATCGTGAAGGCCTTATCTGATACAAGGATATTTTGCGATTAGTGACGTCTGATTGAAAATTGGAATGGTGCAAATAGATGCTATCAGTGTCCCCGATACACATAAAAATTTAAAAAAAAAAACTCTTTACAATCCCTTTAAAGGAGCCAAAGGTTTCAGAAACAGTGATAAAAGTTCAATAACCATGGAATATTACCTGCTAATGTATAGTCCATATCAAAACCATAAAATTTCACTCTTTCTAACATTAAACTTCTATTCACAAAGATTCTGAAAAGACAAAAAGTCCAAGTGAATTCTTAATACAGGCAAAAAAATACCATATATATCCCTCTTGAATATGAAGAATTACCCTGAATATTCAATGTGTTATTACTATTTACTAGCAGAAAGATCAAATGGGGTGCTGAAGACGCTACAAAAAGACTTTTGTGTAAGTTGTAAATAGCAATATATATCGTTGGTATAGTCCGCTTGAAACCTCGGACTATATGCCATATTGGGTCATTTCGACTTTTTGATACGGTTCGAAAGCTTGTAAAAGCGCAGATCTTCAGATCAAACCCTCTTAAATCTTAGCTTGATTTTAAAACCACCAATTAAATAACACGTATATAAACAGTCAGATTTAAAACCTGGTAAAATATTATATTATACAAGGTTCAATGTTCCTTTTTCTGAGGATGAAAACGAAAAACCTCGTATAGCTTACTGTACTAATCCATGATATTGTTAAATGCAAATTTCTTGATTAGTGTTAACTTATATTGTAAAATTAATACATTTTTTTATGTCTACTTTCAGTAAGAGGAAAAGGCAACAAGTTTTGAAAAGTTTGGAATAACAGCACATCGATATTTATATTCAACAAACAGCATCCATTCAAAATGTAACAGAAGCAACTGAACTTTTCCTGATCAGTAAGTGTACTTTATAATTTGACACATGGGTTCAGTTTTGAACACCAAATCAGATGCTTGTGACATACATTTTTTTAGGGGCCAAAGAAAACATTAATTCAAATCATATGTTATTTATTTAAAAGCAGCTTTAGGATTGGCCATTTGATATACATAAAGATTTCAAGATGTTGTTTTGTGGCTTAGTAGGCCACCATATCTAAATTAAAAATCATAATTCAATGGTCTAAAGCTGGGCAACCTTTTCCAAGATCACGGTTGCCCAACAGAATTTTTTGTTGCCATTAGAGACTGGGCAAGTGCTAATTTGAACACTTTGGACAGCTCTAAATAATGGGTTCATAAGTTAAACCTCAGTCCTAAATTGATAATCAGATTAAAGATTACAACTCATTATTGATAAAGAAAATTATTTGCACAGGCATTACAATGCATATCAATTGATATCATGGCTAATGCCTATTGACTTCAACCTAAAAATTTCGACATTGAATAAATTTGCTCAATGCTTATAAAACATATCATAAAAGTCAAATTTGATCTGCTATGAAATCGACCAGTGGCTTGTGAACTTAAGACAGCCAGTTATTTCATAAAAAATATGCATGTTCTGTCCATTGAATGAATATAAAAAAGATCTATGCTTAATTACATTACCTGTGCTTAAAATTTCTCTTAAAGACATGCATTTTGATGCTACTAAATGATCACTTCTGATAAATGTGTTTAGCTACAGTCACATCATTTCATCATACAGATTTAAAGCATTTAAACTATTCAAATGAAAATTATTTCAATGCCAAGAATTTGATTGTTTTATAAATTACTATTCAGTCAATAATAAAATTGAGCCAAATTTGAATTCTTGTTTATGTCATAACAAAAATAGGCCTAAAAACCAAAGTTAAAATAAAAGCATTGGAAGAATCAGTAAAATAACTTACTCTGTGACTTTTCTGGTGGATGACTTCATGGCACACAACTTGAAATCAATATATCTTCCCATTTTTTGAAATAACAGTCAATTAACAGATAACCTACATTCTTACCTTCTGCTAGGCTCTCTTTTATACATCTTGACACTGGTCTTGCTGGGAGATTGGTGGGGCTTTTCCTCTTCGTTTCCAGTAGGACTTGAAGCCATAATGAATTTGATCTGGATAGTTACAAATCAACTGTTAAATTGTGTTAAAAGGAATTCTGGTACTTTACTTTATCACCAACACTGTAAAATAATCAATAAGAATAATCAGTCAGGGATTTCTATGTTATCCTAACAAGCCCTCTCTAGATTTCTACTTAACTTTTTTTTTACCTGACACTGTGTAATTATCTGCTTGGTGACAATAAGAACATATGGAATGAGTTAATATTGCACATATTTTTATGAAATGAGTTTTAATATGAAATCAGTTGAGCCTAATGGAAATGTTTACTATGTAATGAACATTGAGACATTTTTAGTGAGATATTGAATGAGTTATCATTTCACATTTTTGTTTTATGAAATGAGTTTTAAATGAAATCAGTTGAGCCTGAGCGAAATGTTTACTATGTTATGAACATTGAGACATTTTTAGTGAGATATTGAATGAGTTCTCATTTCACATTTTTGTTTTATGAAATGAGTCTCATGTGACATCAGTTGAGCCTACTGGAAATGTCAATTAAGAGTTTCATGAATTCATGACAATGTCTAGTGAAATAACATAGAAGAATGGCCTCACGGACAATTTTGTCCACCAGCGGAGTCATAATTGATGGTATGTATCGTATAATAAATACTTAAAAAACAATATTGGCTATGTGGACTCAAAAGGGGGGCACAGAAAAGATTTTTTTTTCAAGTAGAATTTGAAACTTGAAGATTTGATAAATCATTAACAATTCATCATACCATGGTAAATCCTAGAAGTATAGATTTGCAAGGTTAACAACAGATGTGAAATAAAATGGAATCAAATATTTGTATAGGACTTGCAGGGATTCTAAAGTGGTTTTAGCCTTAAACTGGTGTGTTAGCTCTGGGAATACTTATGATTTCTTGTACTATCTTATTTCCAGTTTAATGCCTGAAATTCTATAATATACAGCCAGATATGCTGTTTGGCTCACAAGTATTATCAAAAATAGCTATAAATGTCTCTGATATGCATTAGAGGCAATTAAGGCTTCTGTTAACGGTGGAAACTTTTCCATACATCATTTGCCTAGTTATGACAAATTAATGGTGGTTGTGGGTTCTAATCTTGGAATCTCAGGCAAAGATCAATGCAAAGCTTATTTCTTGATATTATACAAATATATTACTGATTATTTAGCTAGACCCTTGTAAAAATACATCAAACCCAATATTTTAGGAATTATAAGCTTACATTACCTTATCTTCTAACATATGTTAATAAAATAAAAACTTATAGAATGTTCCTAGAATCAATATTATCACATATATACACAAGATTTATTGATATTTATGCCTTGATATACTGCTATAAGTGATAGTAACTATCCCAGCTGATTACTTTAATGACATTTAATAATAGATATTGTAATGTTCTCATCATTATATTGCTGACGACAACTGATGACAAATTGATTCATTTATATTTAATTTGCTCCCAGCAGATATAGTAATATAATATATAAATAATGAATTCAAAGATTTATGAATTTTTGTTGCATTTATACTTTAGAATTGTAATTATTTCTGCATGACCATTTTGTCCTGAGAGAGTCGTATATTTTGTATTTTTTTTCCAGTGACATGACAAAATTCTAGGTAGTTTTCTATATTCCTGACTCTAAGGTATGAATTTAACTATGAGTAATGGTCAATACAATGTCATAATGTTGGTAAAAATAGGAAGAAATTGACCAGATCACAAGATCCCTACAAATTGGCTGATCAGATTGTAGTCTTGAAAAGACACACACATGTAATTAGGACAATAGCAAATGTTCCTAATTGGTGTACCTGAGACAAAATACAGTACTGACATTTCATAAGTGACAGCTAGCTCTTGCTGAGGATCGTGGGGCTGCCAAACACCTCCATAAACAAATGGAAATCAGATGGCCTGAGTTGCATGTTTTGGACTTGATCTTCAAATCATAATATTATAGTTCTATGTTCACATCAAAGTTTCACAGGCTTTAAGTGAAGGAGTAGGGGGCACATACCCCAAATACACTAGTATTTTTTTCCCAATGACATTGAAATCGTCTGCTTTATTATATCTTAAATGATAATCAATGGATTCACGATCACTACGATATGCATATGGTTTTCAACGTTGGAATAAAAGAACATATTAAGCTTACTTGATGAAACCTGTTTATTTACATTCCAAAGACAACTTCCGGTTGTCAAAAACTATCATAAACTGGAATAATATTGAGATCAAGCCGACAAATTGCAAGAAATATGGCTGCAAAACGAGGAGAATATATCAGTTCATAGAATACGCTGAAAATTTTATTAATATCGAACAAAATAGTACCTTTTTGAATCAAAAATCGTCCCAAAGTCAGTTGACTAACTTTCTTCTCACGCATGCGCAATCACAAAGATAAAGTGAAAGTTTATAGCAGACGAATTCCTACTTTCAGTTTGTTGGTATGTCTTCTCCACATAATGTAGCAGATTAGTCAAAATGTCCCGTATTATGAAATGCGTGTGTCTGATATGAACCAATTCTTGGACGGCAGAGTGGGAAAACCTTCGTCAGCACAGAATGAGATCCAAGGCCTGGGTAGCCAATAATGATAGCCCTGCCTAGCCGTGGCGGAGCCATGTTGACGTCCGAGGAGGGTGAAATATTTGAGGTTGCCCGAATTTCTAACCAAGTAATGAGAGTCATGCCCGAAAAACTTGCACCTGCCCCTTTGCCCCACCCCTTTGGCTCTGCCACCGCTGCCACTGCCTAGCCAATATAAGGACACTCCTTCCTCCTGACAGGTTTGAGGAAGAACATTTGGAAACTTTCAAATGTCAATTTTTTTATAATTGTTTGTTTATACATATGTCTTTTCTGAGGTCAGTGACGGTCAGATGGTCAGATAGTGGACACAGGCAGCTGATCAAAAGATTTAGACAACATAACACACAGGAAGTTGGGTTATTGAAGGCTAATGATATTATACTTAAAGATTCGGGTTAAAATTATGACCCCATCTATCTAGGAAATTGGTTCTGAAAAAATAAGAATGCGAGCAAGCATTTCAAACTCATTTCAAACAGGATATTCGACACAGCATATATCGTAGTGATGCCATTCTGATAATGTCCATATCAAATGGTTTGATTCCTAAAAGAACGTGCTGATGTTAACTGAATTCCATACGAAATC